AACAAGTATATATATACAAGATGACAAAACGAGCCATGGGTTCATTTCGTGTTCAAAAACTTTCACAAATTGCATTCATATGGCCCAGAGAGCAGACGTGTAGTGATTTGGTGTTTGTAAGTAACACTTCAATTAAGAAAAAGCTGCCTATCAGCCTACGCTGTTTCGGAGACAGAAACTGAAGACTGAGAATGAGCGACCAGCGCCACCACAAGAAAAGCCGATTCCGGAAAATCAGAAGCAATTTTAGATGAAAGTGAATCGAATTAAATGACAAGGAGTTCATATCAGTTAACTTTTAGTTTAAAAAGAAGACGATTCTGACAATGAGCAAACAGTGCCATCACTGTCAACGGTTGATGATGATATTAAAGAAAAAAACCAGCGCTGCCTATGATTATGGATGCTTAGTATGAGTACCTACATGTATTCGATTCTTACCCGATTCCTAAATTTTCAATTCCAATTCTCGATTCCAAATCTCGTTTCCTAGATATAGCTTTCCGGGAAAACATACCCACTCAAACAATTCCATTCGAAATCCCAGAGTTCCGGGATAGTCCGGCAATAGCTTTCACTTAATTAGTGGATCCAAAACAAGAACCTGACAGTTGGAGGTGAGGTTGTCGACCGATGTTTACTAGTCGGTTCAATTGCGACAGTCATTAATTAGTCACATATAGCCAGGGATTCCCTCGATCTGGAACCCAAAATAAGGACAACTGGAAAAATACGATTTTTCTACCAAAAAAGAAACAAATATTTTTTCAAAAAAACTTTTATTAAAACGTGTCAAATCATTGTTTGTATTTATCGCCAGAGACGATCTTATCCAACAACTTCTTGTTCTTTGAAACAAGCTCGTGCATCTCATGGCAGCTCAGACCAAGATTTACTTTGACTTGTAACAATGATTTCACTGTTATTTCTTTAAGTCTGTTTTTTCTTTTGTCCACTGAGCCGATACAAGTGAGAATACCCGCTCTACAAATGAATTTCTGACCGGAAGGGAAAAGATAATGCCAACCAGCTTGTAAAAAAGCGAAAAAGATTCATTTCCATCAAAGATCTTTATCCACTTTGCCTAAGGTTTATCTTGGAGAAACACATCTTCTTGAAGATAGCGTTAAAAGTCGCGACCTCATCGAATAGCTCATCCTCCATTGCCATCAACGGAGCAACTTGTTTTGCCAACTCCCTAACTTCCGTATACTCTATTTTCCTATCTCTTAAAACATGGTCCAGTTAATGTACTTAGGGTGCTTGTCATATCGATACCACTTACTGATATATTTCAAGGTGATGGTATAGAAGTCCTGGAAGCTTGGTTTGAGAACATTAGCTTGCTCTTCATCAACTTTTTTCAATAGTTCGGCTGTTGTAGCGCCGAAAAATCCCGAAGCATCGCATCGCATTCAGAGTTGTCAGCTTTCCGGGAAAACAAACCCATTTCAACAATATCATTTGAAATAGAACAAAAAAGTTCAAATATATGGACACAAAAACCGAAACTTGGTACAGTAGACAAAATCGCACACAAAAACGTATCCCTTGGAGCCCACATGATGCCCATTTTTGATGTACATAAAATAAACGTAATAGCCTTCTAGAGAAAAAATTACAATTTTTAATCAATAGAAATTTCAAAGCAGTAGTTTCAGTAGGTGAGAAAAGATATTTTTTCATAACAATAGCAGGAAAATGAATTCTAACAACAACAACAAAATAACAACAAAACGATCTGTATGTCCGTTTTGCGTCCAAAAAATCACTGTCGTAGCAAACAAAAATTTATTGCAATCTGAAAAGTTCAATCTGTTTGCATCCTTTCTTGTGAGTTTCGATCGCAATTTGGAGACAGTAAGATCGGCTGAGCAAAATGCTCTTTTTGATGCAGCGCACTTTGGTGAGTCACAAAGATTCTTTTGGACGACAACTGAGATGTTGGATGAGTTTTTGTTTTGTTGCCACCATTGCAACATTTTTTTGGGGTCGCTGATATTCCCAAATTTCTGTCATTGAAATATTTCGATATCTCAGCTAAAGCCTCCACCTTCCTGGCCAATTCAAAGCCCCTTGCTTCAATGCTGCCAAATTATCATTGATGAGATTTTCAATATATATATGCCTAATTCTTTTCATTGAAGAGCTATTTTGCTATTCCGGTCTACCGGATTGCCGTGTAAACATTTTATATTTAAAACGAGATGCTTCAAGTAAATAGGAGTTATGAACGCAATAGGTGAAAGAAAAAGTATACGAATGAAATGTGGCACGTGTCCTCGACCCGCGCAAACGAGAAATATAGTGTGAATGTTCCATTACATTTGAGCCCATGACAATTGCACCTGCATACTATTGCATCTATGGAAATTTTTTTGTTTTACGGATATTTATTTGAACCCATACTAACCCTAACCCATGGGTTTTAGCACCCGCATATAGATTGAACCCGCGGATATACACATGGGTTCAAATGTACGTGGGTTCGAATGTACCATCACCTAGTGTGAAGTTTGCGGCGTCGTATCAACTCCACAGCGGTTTATACAAATATGTGTCGCAAAACGTTATACCTTGTTTGCAACCCAAGTTTTAACTCTAAGAATCGATTCCAAGTCATCGGAATCGATTCTAGTCGAATCCACGAAGAATCGATTCTAGAATCGAATCCGGAGTCGATTCCGCCATCCCTCCCTATGATACAGCAAGTGTTTCGGGGACGGAAACTGGAAGCAATTCCGAGAATGAGCAAACAGCGCCACCACAGAAAAAGCCAATTTCAAACATATCGCCTAGTTATATTTACCTTCGAGTGCCATGATTCGATTCGCTTTTTGTTGAAGCTTAATTTTGCGTTAGCCTATTGTTTATTCAAATGATTTTCCCATAATGGAATTTTTCATTTCAAAGCCGTTGATCGTGTTTATTATTAGGTACATAACAGTGTTTTAAGTATCTGGTGTTATATTATTGGAACGACATTTATTTATGATGAAAAATATATTTCAATATTATCAAAAATGTATCAAAACTTCTTGTGTATTATTGCCTCGGCAGCAGTGGTGTATCTAGGTAAAATGGCGCCCATAGCAAAGGTTTAAAAATGTGCCCCCTACTTAGCTTGTTTATTTTTTTTCGTTCACATGAAATTGACTGCTCTCAACTACGCAATATAATTACATAACAAGCAATTCAATAACGTCACAATAAACAATAAGCAGTAAAAGGTCGGGCAACAAAAAGATCTTAGAATAATACTTTTCGTGCCTTTCTTGACGCAAATTCGTCAATGATTTCATCAACATTTGTTTTCTTTTTTTCAACCTTCTCTATATGTAACAAATCCAGATCACACAACCTTCCCTGGCTAATTAAGGATCGGAGCTATGACAGAATTAATTTTACTTTACTAAACGATCGCTTGCAACTTTCTATGGATATTGCCACTGTCAGCAAAATTTGCAAAGCTATCCTGAGCTTGGGGAAACCCAGAAAAGACTCTTTGACACACACTGTTTTCTTGTTCTCGATGCGCCTGGTCAGAAGTTGAGTCAAATATAAAACCATAGTAGGTACTTGGCTTTTTTAATTTTTCCTGTTTTTGCGAACATGAGATGCCATAAGGTGAATAAATTCATTCTGAACACCTGGAGAAAAGTGAGTGGTTGAATGTGGATGACTTTCAATGAAACCGAGATGCTCTCGCAACACAGGATCAAAGACGGCAAGGAATTTAATTAAGCCAAGCGTGCAACGCGAGATTTTGTTCCGCCAGATACTTTATTCCATGCAATATTCATTTAAGAATCTCACTCCATTTTTGCCTTTTCTTCTCAATTTGTATATGGAATTCGGCGTCAATAATTCTGGTTTTATTGCTTAAATTTCTTTCCAAGCTGTAAATCTCCCTCTCATTGTACGAATATTCATAATTTTTGCTCCAGTTTGGTATCAGAGCAAATATGAGGTGCAGTTAGTCCAGTACCGTTTCAATTCAAGTTTATTCATGTTGGAATATGAAGTCAACGTCAATTGCGCTAAGTGACGGAACAAACGGCATTGATCGTTGGCTGGCTATTATTATTTACCTTTGTTGAATTTGTTATTATTCAATTAGAAATAGGAGTTTCAATTATTTTAACAATATTTAACATTATACGATTATCCCCTCGCTAGTCGTTTGTCTTTCATGTAACTTATATACATTTATCCAAGTATGCCTTTTTTATAAATTTATACTTGAGTTGTTTTTCTTCTTTTATTCTATTATATGATTTTAGTAAAGTTGCGTTTGCTGCGAAATATTTCAATAATTAAAAATATGTTCACCATAACGACTATTGCATAGTCAATGTTTGTAGCAAATGTAGTTATTTTTTACATTGAACCAGTACATTTTATTTAATTTTACCGGTCCACAAGAAAGGTTGGGAAGTGGGAACCAATGTTTTAAATGATATTAAACAGAAGTATTCATTTCATTCATACAGAACATGAGTGTGTATACACACTATAGGCAAACAGCACATTGTCGTTGAGATTTCCCTGTTTGGCTGCAAAGCTGTGGATTTCACATTGTTGAGTAACAACAACGCCAGATCAGGGAAAATCCTGGCTGAGTTAATCGGCACTTATTGGACATTCAAAATAGCAACACAACTGTCATTCAATTACCCATAGAAATCTTCTCGTGAACCCCTGGGGTTTCGCGAACCCCTGACATAAACGATCTACTGAATTGCCAATATACCGCATCGTTATAATACCAACATAATTGGAATATTAGGTACCGCCGTTGTATGTGTACCAGGTTAGACTTAGGCCATAATGATAACTAGAGTTCGGGGACTCTGTGTTAGACAAGTGAATATACACCTGACCATGGGGTTCAGTCTCTTTACACAACTTGAGGTAAAATAGGCAAACAAAATTAGTCACCTCCATATCGGTGCACACACTTCTGGAGCGCCGATTGTTATATATTAAAAACACAGGTCTGCGGTGTTTCCCTTGTAATCATTGCTTCCATTAAAAGCAATCGGCACTAAAACACATTCAACTAGCGTTTATCATTTGAATAAATTTTGAAGGTCAATTTAGGAAAAACACAATCTCTATATTTCTGTTATTGAAACGAAATTGATGAAATAGAAGCTAAATATGTGACGTAGCTCCATGAAACAAATAAATTCTCACAGATCTAATACAGGGGTGTGCAACTGGGGCCCTCAGGGTGTGCGGCACGCGAAACAAGTTTTTAATTTAGTTTAATCTGGTACCTGCGAGTCATCCCAAGCCTATACCAAAGTCTAATTTTGTTTCATTTTTGCCGGTTGCGATACCCGCTTCGGCGAAGCAAATAACTCATGTCATAAGATCAATAACCAAATTTTTGGGCCTGCAAATATTGAAAAGCCTATGTTACATGAAGGTGCGACCCACGGTTTCACCGTGCTATTTGTATCTGGCCCTCCTGTATTAAAGGTTGCACGCCCCTGATAAAATGTCAAATGAATTGCATTTAAGAGTGCCGGTTGGTCATACAGAAACTTCTTGCATATAAAATCTATATCAAAATGATATACCAGTATGTGCAATGAATAAATCCATCCCTCAGTCCTATGGTCATTCATGACGAACACCTCAAGAGACGACTACATACATGGCCAATTAAAAATCTCCTCAGATTACTTTTATCTTCAATCCTTTTGCTATCATGATGTAAACATTCAACTTATTCAAGATGTAGGCTATGCATCAATGTAACCCTCAACTCAATAGGTTGAGAAGAAAACACCAAGATACTCCATCATTCAATGGAAGTCATAGCTTACGAGCGAGTGTATGTTTTTTCCTACGAACTGTATCTTCTAATGAACCCACCGATGCACTGTGTAATTTCATTTCATGCAAAAAATCTTTTGCTTTTCCTCCTTTCTTCTCTGCTTTTCTTTTCATTTCATGTACCTTCTCTTCTTGATCTCTTTCCCTCTTCTCCTCCTGTGCATACTTCTTAATATTATGTTTTCTTTGATCATCCCTCCAAGTTGCATTACTCATCATTTCTTTCCTCTTTCTTTCTAGTTCTTCTTGTGTTAACTTTCGTGAAAACCCAGATTTCTGTTTGCGAACATATTTCGGTTTTTCTGGTTCAGGAGTTGGTGTTCGTCGTTCTCTCCTCCTTTTTGGTTTTGAACCACTTGATCGTTCACCGTCTTTTACAAACATCAGACCATATCCAGGTTTTCTCACACTTTCCGGAGAGCCTTTTCCAGGAGCTTTATGCCTCATATCTTCTTTCCGTTCCCGGTGCTTATTCTTTCTGCTTCTCAATTCTGATTTTTTCAACTCGTCACTGCTTGATCGTTTCCTTCTTGTTTTCAAGTTATTGTACTTTTCACCGCTGTGATTCGGAGAGTTTTCATAATTTTTACGTGATTTTTTTTCATTATCGGAGTCGTACCTCTTAGATTTTTTCCCCTTCAAATCACTTTCCAATTGTCTCTTTAAAGCTATTCGAAGTTTTTCATTCTTCAATGACCTGAAAGTAAACTAAATGATGAAACAGAGAAACTAAGTATCAGAAAGCAATTGGAGAATAAATCCGATTTTGATGAGTGCAAAAGTTTTTGTAGTAACCAGTTAACACGTTAAAAATAAACCTAAATAGAGATCAATGTGGCTTCATTAGGGAAGACCTGTTTTTGCCAATTCTGTAATTGGCAAAATTTAATCCTTAATTTATTATGATCTTATTCATTTAGCATGACTCATGAGACCTACCGTAGGTATATTTCTGAGAAAATTAGGAATTTCCATTAATTCCACATATTCAGTTGGTTTTTATGATTAATGAGCATAACTTGATCTCCTAACAGATGAGGTAATATTTCCCCAGGGCCAAAGCATACTCCAAAAAATAACAAATGCAGAATGTGATCTAAGCTAGCACAGATGAGACGGTGGTCAAAACAAAGTATGGCTATGGTATAAGAGTAAAGGCAAACTCCTTATTGATAAAATATATCAATCATCCCAACTAAAAACCAAAAAGGAGCAAAGAATATAGAAGGTATTACTATGGATTTTTCAACTCTGAGGAGATATACAGGTAAATTGTTATTCTAAAAATACATATCGTACATGCATTATTTACGCTTGGATTTCTTTGCTGGCATGGTAACAAAATTTCACACCCAACTTTATAATAAAGCACACCTGCTTGAAATTTTTTTATCGAGTTCCATGTCGCTGTCACTTGATGAGTCTGTTTCTGATGAATCAGATGCTGAAGAAGAACAGGAGGTTGAAGATGTCCTGCTTTTCAATAATCTTTTTCCTAAATCACGCTCAAGAGCATTTTTTAACATATTCTGAATTCTTTTTTTCTTGAGTGGGTTACTCATGAGTTCTTTACGATGCTCATAGTCATTTTTTCTTATTTGAAAGAGAGGATCTTCTCGTACTTTGCTTTCATAATCAAGTTTTTCTAAAACTGAAACATTGCCTGTAGAAATAGATGATTGTTGTTTGACAATGAAGTCTCCCTTGTCTTCTGCATCATCTGCGATAGAAGTAATTTTTTTTCCCAGCAAATATTGTTCATGATCAATTGATGATTTTTTTCCTTCATACATCCATTTTAAATTGTTTTCTGCAGTCATGATACTTATGCTTATGAATTATACAGAATCTCATGCAGACAATGAATAACCTAATTATAAAATCATAAAATATACCTAAAATGATGAATATTTGTAAATGATACCACAGAATTTACTACCGCTACTACTGTATATATTTTATGTAATCTTGTCAGTTTTATCATATATTTGGTAGGTTATATTCGGTATTTCACTGAATTGCCTTCATTTTAATGAGACAGCTCTCCAGAAGAGTGGATATATCCCATGAAGATGCAAATTTTACTTGTGCAGTTGTACAATAATACAGCATAAAGAGCTGAATTATGAATTCGAATACTGGGAATTTTGAATTTAGTCAGTTGAAACCGTTTAACATGCTTAATTGTTTTAATTAGGGTCTTGACAGAATCATGTTGGAAGAATTAACAAGACAGTGTAAGAAGACTATAATCAGGTTACTGTATTTTAGGATAAGATTTCATAACATAACTTTTAAGTGAATCAAATTTCTATTTTGTGGATAGATTTGAAACTGGTTGAGAAGATAGAAAATAATGTAGCCATAGTCCAAAAAGCTATATTTTTTGTGTCTTTTTCCAAAAGCCCTCTTGTTATGAATAACCATTGCCATATTAAATCTGTACGGTATATTACGATACTGTACTGGCATTCTTTGTTTAGGTACAGTATTTAATGTTAAAACAAGTTACAATATATTTCGGGTCTCCAAGACGGGTGGAGGCTAACTCGCCATGCGACGGCAGTTAACAGGTATGCCTGCAACTGCACGAAGTGACAGGAAAATTCATGAGGTCAGCATTGCGGTGGAATCGAATATAGTGGAAGTAATCGAAGAAAATATACCAAGAAGGGTTGAGGCAAAATATGGCGAGGCAAATGAAAAGTTGAAGGAAGTTTGGAAAATTTTCAAGGACGGAGGATTATCTGTCTGTCTGTGGAGGCTCTTCTTCGAAGATGTTCCAAAATCTACAGCCCAGCCTATTGCTGTATTGTAAAGACAGAAAGAGTACCGGTACCGTAAGTAACCTAGTGCTGTAGTGTAAGTATTTGTCCTCCTCCGCAGTTTTTTCCCATGTACAGCTATGATGCCTATCTGCAGATCTGGGGTCTCGTCTAGTTTCGTACCTAATCCAAAAATTACGTCACTACGACATCACAATCACATCATAGAGCTTAAATATGTAAATTCTATCCTATTCTTGCCAAATATACCTACGGTCGCCCGAAGAAATAGCATTGGCACCGACGTAAAGATCTGACTGACGTTATCGATCTCTCTCCTATTGGAATCGTTGGGACAAGAAAACGAGAGAAATAACTGTTCGGGTGCTCGTTTGCGCGTCTTGGATGGCAGTTCATAAGATAAGATTTTATTTCGATTCATTCGCAAAAACAAAATAAACATATATACACAAAAGCTTAAGACGAAGAATCTGGAAAGTGAACAAAACATAATAAAATAGGTTTAAAACGTATTAAACGCGTTCACACAAGAAAACGAGTCACAAACACAAACAAATTAACATGAATATTGACGGCAGTCGTTACTCAGGCGTTTCACTTAGTAATCAGTTGCGTTTGAAGGGCTCTATTACGTCACTGTGACGTCGTAATGATGTAATTTTTGGATGGCGTAGTCAGGTGGGGGTTAGGATTGATACGTGAAAAAATTGTCATGCCACGCCCACTAGAAGTATGTTAGATACGAAACTACTGATTTTCCGTACATTTGTTTGTTTTACTCTCACTTTCACCCCAGATCTGTGCTTGGGTTTCTTCTGATAAAAAAAAAAATTCCGACTCGGAGGCTGATACCTTGTCGTGAGGAGTTGGCTTAACACTAATATCAGCCGACATCAGGGCGAGTTAGCCCTCTCTTTCTCTCAAACTCGCGATGTCGATCAACAAATATAAAGAAATGGACATGGTGAGTTAGCCCTCTCTTTCTCTCGAACTACGGTAAAATGAGACTACTGGTAGCGAAATAGAACTTGGCATTATGTGTATTTAGCATGCTTAGATGAAAATGATAAGTTGAGACATCCTTTGCGTGTCGAGTACCGGTACGGCTGTACGGTACACCGGTATATGAGCACGTTTTCCTGTCACTTTGTTATCCCTTGCACAGTATTCTAACCAAACACATTTAATTTAATATATCTATCCCCACTAATGAAGGGGACGGACTAAAAGTAGGCACTTGCAAATTAGGCACTTTTTTAGGCACTTTGGAAAAAAAGTAAAAAGGGCGTAATACCTTTTAAAAACATAATTAATTAGTTAAAATGGTCAAATTAAATGTTGAAAACGCAAATTGCAACGGGCAAACTCAATAACAATATTTAAAACGTAGTATTAAAGGATGTCGCACGCGCTTGGTCACCACATATGCTAGGCACATATTTAGACACTTCGAAAAATAAAAAAAATGGCAATTATCACTAATAAAAGACAGAGACATAAACACATTACCCACACTGATTAGCCTGGGTAAATATCAAATAAATGCACTTGAGTCTAGTACTGGAATTTAGAAATAATAAATTGTTACCGGTAGGCACTTATTTAGGCACTTCGGAAAAAAGGTGAAATGGACGTAGTAACTCCTAAAAAGGTAATGAATTAGTTCAAAATATTTAATTAAATGTTGAACGCAAAAATTGCAACAGTTAAATCCAATAACGATTTTTAAAACGTAGTATTAAAGGAAGACGCACGCGCTCTGTCACCGCATATGCTAGGCACATATTTAGACACTTCGAAAAATAAAGAAAATGGCAATTATCACTAATAAAAGACAGAGAAATAAAAATATTACCCACACTGATTAGCCTGGTGGAATATCCAATAGATGCACTTGAGTATAGTACTGAAATTTAAAAATAATAAATTGTTAGCGGTAGGCACTTTTTTAGACACTTATTTAGGCACTTCGAAAAAAAAGGTGAAAAGGGCGTAATAACTTTTAAAATGATAATTAATTAGTTGAAAATTGTCAAATTAAATATTGAACACGCAAATTGCAATGGGTGAACCGAATAACAATATTTAAAACGTAGTATTAAAGGAGTCACACGCGCTCGGTCACCACATACGCTAGGCACATATTTAGGCACTTCGATAAAAGAAGAAAATCGGAATTATCACCAATAGAAGACAGAGAAATAAAAATATTACCCACACTGATTAGCCTGGACAAATATCCAATAGATGCACTTGAGTCTAGTACTGGAATTTAGAAATAATAAATTGTTACCGGTAGGCACTTATTTAGGCACTTCGGAAAAAAGGTGAAATGGACGTAGTAACTCCTAAAAAGGTAATGAATTAGTTCAAAATATTTAAATTAAATGTTGAACGTGAAAATTGCAACAGTTAAATCCAATAACGATTTTTAAAACGTAGTATTGAAGGGAGACGCACGCGCTCTGTCACCACATATGCTAGGCACATATTTAGACACTTCGAAAAATAAAGAAAATGGCAATTATCACTAATAAAAGACACTGATTAGCCTGGGTAAATATCCAATAGATGCACTTGAGTATAGTACTGGAATTTAGAAATAATAAATTGTTAGCGGTAGGCACTTTTTTAGGCACTTATTTAGGCACTTCGAAAAAAAAGGTGAAAAGGGCGTAATAATTTTTAAAATGATAATTAATTAGTTGAAAATTGTCAAATTAAATATTGAACACGCAAATTGCAATGGGTGAACCGAATAACAATATTTAAAACGTAGTATTAAAGGAGTCACACGCGCTCGGTCACCACATATGCTAGGCACATATTTAGGCACTTCGAAAAAAGAAGAAAATCGGAATTATCACCAATAGAAGACAGAGAAATAAAAATATTACCCACACTGATTAGCCTGGACAAATATCCAATAGATGCACTTGAGTCTAGTACTGGAATTTAGAAATAATAAATTGTTACCGGTAGGCACTTATTTAGGCACTTCGGAAAAAAAGATGAAATGGACGTAGTAACTCCTAAAAAAGTAATGAATTAGTTCAAAATATTTAAATTAAATGTTGAACGCGAAAATTGCAACAGTTAAACCCAATAATGATTTTTAAAACTTAGTACTAAAGGGAGACGCACACGCTCTGTCACCACATATGCTAGGCACATATTTAGGCACATCGAAAAAAAAATGAGAATAATCACCAATAAAAAAAAGAAAATAAAAATATTAGTCAAAATGATTAGCCTGGGACTGGGTGAATATCCAATAGATGCACTTGAGTATAGTTCAAAAAGATGATGAATTAGTTAAAAATAGCCAAAATTAAATGTTGAACATGCAAAGTGCAACAGGTAAACCCAATAACAATCTTTTAAACGTAGTATTAAAGGGAGTTGCACGATATTGGTCATACTAGTTAATCTTGCTAGCTCAGAGACGCCAGGGTTCAAAGAGTTCATTAATTAAAGCAGTGGTGATACGCAATTGTCTGGAAACAATATATGTCTCAAATCAATTGCAATTGACCTTTCCCCGACCTTTGACCCCCTAAAGAATCTTCCTATACTTTACCATTGCAAAATTTTCGGGGATATTTTATTAGTGGTTTCGCGAGTTGGCCCCTGTAAAATGGGGTATTTGTTTCAAACCAACATTATGATTCATCGCGGACAATAATCTGTGTTTTAGAAGTAACGGTGAGGAATTTTAGCCTAGTCTATCACAGCTATTTCTACACCAATTTCTTATTACTGTGATTAAATTAAAACTTCTAAAAAGACATAGTGAGCATTGAATTATCTGATTTATATTTACATTTCCGAAAGACAACTAAAAATTGGCGAAAAGAGTTCAAAAACGCGAAAATGAGGTAATGTTTAAAACCACGCCTGAAAATCTGTCTGAGTGAGAAGAGTGTCTGAGTGGATGCGAAAAGGGGGCATTGTTACGTCACTTTTTGCATCTTGCTGATTAGCCAATGTCACGAAGTACATAAAGAAGTCGATGCTCGGGGAAGGGTCCATAGTCAATTCGTTCAATGCTTGTGCCGATAGAATCTTTATCCACGTCACGTCGCATTTATTATGTCAAGAAACGTTGTATATCTACAGTCG